CAGAGAAAGGTTGATGATGGAGTGGTCAGGCTCACGGTCGGCAATGAGGTAAAGTTGTGCGAGAGCAGTATAGACGCCAGCAAAGCGTAGCCCTAAGAGGCGCTTGAACTCAGGAATGGTGACCACGGTGCTGATGAAGACATCGCGGATACCGATGCGCAATTGCTTCCACATGCGCAAATCATACAATATCAAGTGATCAAGCCTCAGACGTTGCCAGAGGTCTTCGTGAGGTGGCGTTCCGGGCTTCTTACCGTAGCTTTCAGGCCGTTCTAACCAGTATTTGGCTGGCCGTGCTGGCCGTAGTGGTAGTGATCGAGTGTGGGGCGTCTCTGGAACCGGCAGTATCGGCTCAGCATGGCTGAGAGACGGTGCGCCAACCATAGGCTCACTATCTGACTCGGCCGGCGTGACACTCTGCTCAAGCTGAGCACGCCGCGGATGTGCAGGTGGTGGCGGCGGTGGTGGAGGAGCAGGGTAGCCCGCCATTGTGGCTTCAGATACTTCAAGTGCCTCGTCTGCGCTTTCATATGCCTCCATCTCCACGTCGCCGTCATTGTCCTGAGCGCCAACCTCGTCAATGTCCATATCAATGTCCATATCATCTTGGGTGTCTGCTGCAGGTCCGCCGTCGTCGTCATCGTCATCGTCAGAGGCTGTGGTGTCGTCGTTGGTATCGGCGGTTCGCTGTCGCTGGACCCGGATGATGCGAGCTCGTCGCTGTAATAGCATGCCGTTGAAGAAGCCATCCATTTCAGCTTCCTTGTCTTCCATCTCGTGATCATCCAGACCGTTCTTGCCGATACTTTGATTTGATGCTTCGCTGCCAATGCGCCATGGCTTGAGGAGCTCCTCACAAACAGTGCGGCGAAGTATTTGGTTATCTTCGCCGACACTGCAGCCTGCAATATCCTGTATCCACTCAATGAGTACACCACCCATCTGCTCTCGGAACGTGTCTCTCGCGGATCGAATGGTGACGGTGAGCTTGATCTCTTCGATAATCTTGGCCATACGAAGGAGGTCTTTCAAGTCGGTCCTGTAGACTATGGCACTCCGGCCAACATCATTGATCTCATAGGCCTTTGCGAGGCCGAACGCCAGCTTCTGTTTGCAGGCACGAGCGACCTGATCTCTGACGTCGTTGACTGTGTGTTTCTCATCGTTCCACAGTACTAGGCAGAACTCGTCGCATTCCTCTGTCTCGTCACCCAGCTCGTACCATCGTGAGGTAAGGCGCGACTTGCGCTCGTCTTCGAGGATCGACTCTTCCGACTTGGGGTGGCGCAGTTGCTCCGGGGAGCAGGAGAAGACGTCGATGAGGTAGTCGAGGGTCCGCGCAATAGTGGTGCGAATGGTCTCTGCGAGTTCGTCTGGCAGCATAGAACCCTCTCTCGCCTTGCCTGCAGCCTTGGACTCGCGCTCAGGGTCGATCGAGTGTATGTTGCAGTGTACCGGTCGTATCCAGGCCTCGTCGTCTCCGCAGTCGCAGCAGCCAGAGTTGCCGGGCGAGACGCTGACAAAGACCTGGTGCCCCTCATGGTCGGAAGCGTCAAAGCAGCGGGCGCACAGCACGCAGGTGTCGTCGGCGCTGCACGTCTTACACCGGTATGTAGCCTCGCCGTTCTTGAATATATGCCCGCATGGCTTTCCTCTCGCGGCTGGTGTGTATTCGGCGCCTTCTACGGCACCCTGGGCGTCGCGCAGACTCCAGGGCTTCTCCGCATCCGTCGGAAGCCCATTGGGGAAGAAGTGCGCTAGGAATTCGGGGCGGCCAGCAAGAGAGCGGAAGAGAATCTCGCGCAGCTCTCGGTCAGCGGCGAGTTCGAAGCGGTAGTTGTGTCGTCGTGGGAGTTCGCGCAGGTGTCGGCATAGTTCTTGCTCGTGCAAGGACATGTTCATGGTGCAGCTTTCGCGGCGGGATGGTGGGGGACGCGAGTGGTGGGCGGGGGGAATAACGGAACTTTAATGGTGAGGTTGCTTGCGGTAAAAAGTGCTTGGGTCTGAGATACACTATAACGTTGTCAACAACGCAAACGTAGTACGAAGTGCTGGTTTTGTGGGCCAGCCACCGGGGTGAGTCTTGGGTTGGTGGAAGGCTCGGTGTGGTAAGAGAAAGCAGCAGGTGCAGGTGGGTTGGTGGAAGGCTCGGTGTGGTAAGAGAAAGCAGCAGGTGCAGGTGTAAGATGCGCGCTACTATGTCATTGCGAGCATCATCTCGTGAAACAGCGCGGACCCCCGAGGCAGGCGCGACGCCACCAAGCAGCAACTACAAACCCCGCCCGTCTACAAAGGCAATCAATGTCTTGGAGTGTTCTGTCACTTGCTGATACATGGAAAGACACCAGTTATTCGCTGCACATGTTCATTCTGTTCCTTGTTCGAGACAGTCTGATTATGGTCCTCCATGTACTGGTTGCAGCATTTGGTCTGTTTGATGCAGCCCTAATCTGTCTGTATGCTAGAACCATCTATTCGACATGCACCAAACTTTTGTCACAAGTCAGAACTTCCATAAGACACCATCAAACGCAATCATGTCGACGGGCTTCATGTATGGGATGTAGGCCACATCGCGCCTTGGTATTTCGCATGCTGTAGTATACACCACAATGTACAGTGTCCGCTCCAAAGAACCGTAAGAAAGTGTCTATTTCGTGTTCGAACTGAGGTATGGCTGAAGTCCTACTCGTCGTCCTCGGCGGCCTCCATGTATCGCTGCTTAATGTCCTTCCATTGGCGCTGTTACTTGTATTAGCGAATGCCATGTCCACAATAATAATCTGACGTACGCCGCGGTTGAGACCGTCCCAGATCTTTTCTGAGCCTGTGTCGAACGCCCTGTACTGCTATCAGCCTCTCTCCTTTCCCCAGGTTCCTCTTCCGGATGCCGTCGCTTACAGTTGGAGACCGAAGGCGGAGCCGAAGACGGCGAACAGCATGGTGGTATTGCTGCGGAGGACCGCGCTGCAGGCGATGGTTAGTCTCGTTCGATCGAAGGTGTGCGCGAGGAGAGACTTGCTTGTAGACGGTGCCGATCATCTGCGCGGGACCATTAGCGGACATTCAAAGTCGTTATCCGATCAATTCACTTACGCCAGACATTTTGGAGGTGTCGAGAGGGCTGGGTTGACTGCGGAGAGGGATGTGGTGGTGCTTCACTGGCGATGTCAAAGGCTGAGGTTCGTCGACAAGATTCAAGCTCTCGCGTCACGGGGATTTGCGCTGCGCTAATTGGCCCGTCGTGCCTTCCGCTTTGACGTGAACTTTGTTTCCAACCCCACCACCGCTACCAGCTCAACCTCTGCGACACGCACCGATAACTCCTCAAATCTCCTCGCAGACGCCTGCAAAGACCTGGCGAGGTCTCACCTGGACAATTGGTGTGCCCCGGCCCGTTGCGACTGCCTGACATCCTCTGGCGCACCCTACCTCCACTCCACCTCATCGCAGGCGCGACCGACACAATGCCTTCAGTAGAGACTCCCGCAATCTCCAAAGCCGGCATCACCACTTCCGCATCCGGCGAACGCCATATCCCCGCATCCGTCCGTCCCGACGGCACCCTGCGCAAAGAAATCCGAGTCCGCCCAGGCTACCGCCCACCCGAAGATGTCGAACTCTACAAGAACCGCACTGCTGAGGGCTTCCGCAACAGAGGAAAGGCCGGTGTGCCAGGTGCCGAGGCGGTGAAGAGTGAGGAGCCCACTAGCATATCGAGTCCAGCTGCGAATAAGAACGCCAAGCGGAGGGAAGCTAGAAAGAAGGCAGCCGCCGCTGCGGGTGATGGGAAAGATGAGGACAAGGAAGCTTCTGCTGAGCCCAAAGAAGCAGGCAAACCGGCTGAGATTAAAGAGAAGGAGGTCGCGAAGCCCGAGGCTGAGAAGGTTGTCGACCCTGAGGTTGAGAAGGAAAAGGAAGCGAAGAAGCTCACCAAGAAGCTGAGGCAGGCCAGGGATTTAAAGGACAAGAAGGACAAGGGCGACAAGCTGCTACCGGAGCAGTTCGAGAAGGTCATCAAGATCAACGAGCTCATACGCCAACTAGAGGGCCTCGGCTTCGATGCGCAGGGAGAGAAGAAGGGAGAGACTTGAGGACACATGCAGCAAGAGCTACTCTATGGATAGCCACACAAACTCCCAAGCCGAGACAGCTGCTTCTCTAGCACGAGCTAGCGATTCCACGACACCCGCACGTTGGTGGTGCGGACGTGACGGCAGAGGTCTTCAAACCCACGACTGTACAGCGACGACATGCCGCCCGAGCGTACGTCGACCTCAATAACAAACAACGTTTGGTTTGGGCATATATCGCAAGAAAGCTCTTCACTACTGCCATATTTGCCGCAGCCTACAGCGCTATCTACGCATGTAGTTCAAACGAGCCCTACACACCCACCGTTAGGACTTTGTCACAACCTTAGTTAACATGTATCATAGAGTACACATGAAACTCAAATCAACTGCGCAGCTTATTCGACTCGCAACTCCATTAGTGTGCTTTGACCGACCGTGATGTTCCGCACTACACGCCCGCCTACCACATTCGAGCAAAAAGAGAGCTGTGAGTTCGAGAGTCGCCATTTCAGATCTGGGGCATAAAAGAGCAAAAACATACAACAGCAATTATTCGCTTGCGGTCACCCATCAAGCTACTAGTTTGCCGGTCAAAGGCTTAACGTGTGGAGAGCAAACGGGATCCAGTGTACTCCTTTACCTGTGGTCGTATGTGAAGGAATGGGAAAGAGAATGATATATCAACGACAGATAGCCCGCCACTACATGAAATCAACCCATAGCCACGTCTAGACGTCCATCCCATAGAAGGGACAAACTGAACAGGCACTCTGAAGTCAAAATCGCTACAAGAGCTTCACTGTGTAGGTTGTCAAGCAATGTAACCTTCTTAGCGTATTCAAAAATTGGTCTTTGTAGACATGGGTGTATAGCTTTTGCCTCGAATGGGGTATGTTCTTCCATGCGTAGTCAATCTAATCCCTTTCAATAGTACTGACTGCCCACGTATCGCTCGATAACCTCCCCGCCATACTTTTGCATTCCTGCGCGTTTCAGTCCTTCAGAGGTCTTTGGCTCTGGCACCCATACTCCCGTCTCACAAGCGTAGTAAATTCTCCTGTGCTGTTCGTCCTCCGGTCCTTCATCACCCCACTCCGCTTTCTGGCCCGGCGCGTGATACGAAATGTGCAGTCTCCCCGTCTTACCCGTCATCTCAGACGTAAGCATGAAGGACTCAAGAACAGGCATGCAATCAACGGCTTTTGCGAGCGCGCCGAGAAAAGGATCAAAGGTTTCTGGGTCGGGGTGCTGCCGGAAGTCATGCCAGCTGAACTCGCGCGTATCGACACTCCCGACAATGCCGCGCCCGGGGTCGTCGTGGGGGTCGTCGGCCGGTGTTGCACCAGTGAAGTACCATTTGCCTGATGGAGCGACCATGTCAAACGTGATGTCGAAGGACTTCAGGTGTGGCCAAGACGGTGGCGTCGCGTTTTCGTCTGATGGCCAGAATAGCGTGGGGTCGACGTGCGCACTCAGGGTAAGGGTTGTAAGACATTGTGAGAAGGTTCGGATTGATGAACTGAACGGGTCGTATGTGTAGCCTTCTGGCACAATGCTCGGAACTGTATACCTCTGATCTAAAGGAGTGCAGTGTACAAAGACAATGTTGGCAGAATGGAGTGAGCGGAAATGTGTCGGCGAGAGCTTATTAGCAAATTCGGCGCGCGCCTCACCGCGCGCCTTGGGAGATGTCGCCGGTTCCCACTCTGGATCATAGTCTGAATCCAACGAGTCCTGGTCCGACCCCGCGTCAGAACCAGCCTCGTAGTCTGGAAACTCCCAGTCCACTGTCCTGAGCTCTGGCATTGCCACTGCTAGATCTGGTGCAACGCTTGGTGCAAGGCTTCGCACGCCGGTGCGCTCGATAGTGAGGTGCTGCAGATTAGACAATGTAGGCAGGTTTTGGGGTTCAACAAGGCGCAGGTACGACTCTGCCCAACGAGCGGATTGAATATCTCTGCTCAGACCATGCTCAATCTCGAACTCATCCACTTCCCGAGCGTCGGTCGGGCACGTAGCTCCCGCAATTATAAGCCGCACTCCATTCTTCACACCGTTGTCTTCCCAAGTTCGCAGCACCGTGAAAAGTTCGCTTATAGCTTTTGTAAATGCCTCGTTGTTGGCATGTTGATCAAGTCGTGATTCTTTGTGTTCGTATGCTTCTTCCGAATATGTTGGCAATTCCGCCCTGAAACTGATCCAGGAAAGATAGTTGCGGCGATTTCCTGTTACGATGGACTGGAGCGATTCCAGCTCATCGCTTTTGATGCCGAGACGGTTAAATGTAATGGTCTCAACTGCTTCCTTCCAAGTGCGATTGAGGATCGCGAGGCGAGGAAATTGAGATGGCGAACCATCGGGCTCGAAAGATTGTCCTATCGCGGAAGCCCACTCTTCCTGGTCTGGGTACCGCTCTGCGAAATACACAATGCGGTTGATCAGCTCTTGTGGTAGTTTGTCCATGACGCGACTGAGGTAGGGGAGTGAGCGCACCATCGTTGCGGGAACGCTGTTGAGTACATAAGTACGCGGGAGTACCGAGGCGCTAGCAGGGTTTCTGAACCTTGGAACAGACTAACGGTCTGCCCGTTCGCTGCAGCGCAATCACACCAAGCTATGATGATGCAAGGTTATGTTGCGCAAGCGCGGCGAGTGATTCCAAAGATGCTAACGTGTAGGCCTCCAAAGATAGTCACAGGGCACGTGTATTCCATTTCAAGAAGACGGGGCTTCATATACAACAGTCCAGTGCGATAATCACTACTGAACAAGCGATGGCCGACAAGAATCGTCCGACACCAACACAATACCGTCATTTTCAACTTGTCCGAGGAAATAAAATTGTGGAAATGGGAGGCTTCATTTGGCGGTACCAGCCCTTCCGATATATATGTGAGGCGTAATGAGGTATGATCTCTGGCTACCATGAAGCGCATTGTCTGCGCAGACAGCTCAACGTTGCCCCAAGAACAACATTACAAGAGACGAGTGTAGCACATCGCGTTTGTACATGTCTGTTTACGCGACTACACCGACACAGTACCAGTAATCCTTCCAAAAAGAAGTGCCACAACCATTGCCATTATCCAAGGCTGCATTCCACGCATATAGTTGCGCGTCGGTGATTCCGTTTCGTTCAGCAAACAACTATGATTAGAGTCAGTCTTGAAGCGACGCAGAACCGGATAACGTGGACTTACAGCACACCAGTCTCCTTCTTGCGCCTGAGCAGCCTTGTTGCATTCTTTGATCGCGTTGTTTGCTTGATTTGGCGTTGGTATGACGAAAGGACTGGGAGTAGGCGACGGCGGGGGAACCGATCTGCTCACGCTGATCGAATCCGAAGTGCCCACACAATATGCCGATCCCTGCCAGAAGTTGTCGCGGCAATCATTCGACACGGCGGGATTCCAGGCATAAAATTGCTCCAAGGTGATGAAGTATTTGTTTGCAAGAATCGAGCAATCATCACCTTTCTCGACGATGTGCCATCGAACACAGTTTGTAGGCTGTCCAGTGTGCGTTGGTGCCCCAGGTCCTGGTGGAACTGTACTGCTCGGGGCAACGGAGGTCGAAGTGACGCTCGTAGTGGGCGGTGGGGCACTGGGCGACTTGACGCAATATGCCGTTTCGGTCCAAAGATTCGCACACGTTGAGCCTACGGCCGGATTCATCTTGAAGAATTGAGCCAAGGTGAGATCGAACAAAGCCAGAACATCCTCGCAAGTGAAATCCTTAGACACGTCCCTGAACTCAGTGCAGTTCGTATCATACCCTTCTCTGATCGGAAATTCCAGCGATGGGCCTACTTCGGGCTCGGCCTTTGGGGGCTCGAAGTAGAACCTTCCACAATAGCGGACTCCAGGCTCGAAGCTGCAAGTAGGCGCTTCGGTGTCGTTCCCGAGTGAGGGATTCCAGGTGAGCAGTTCGGACATCTCTACACCGTAGATATCTGCAGCCAAATCGCATTGGTGACGATAAAGAGTTCCTGTTATGTCGCTTTCCATTTGTGATGCCTCGAAATACTGGTAGCAATCGTCTCTTGTATCAAGCGCAAGGCTCAGCTGCGTGGGCGAGGGTGTTATCGTAGCGGGCTTAGTGGGCGTAAACGTGACTTTGGTGACTGGAGGGTCACAATCAGTATGCGACGCATAGAGTGCCAAGTGAAGTACTTACATGGTACTCCCGAAGGACCGGGAGTATGGTAGCCAGGTCGTCTAGAGTAGGTGTTAACTTCAGTTGGTCAGCCGCAAACTTCGATCATCTAGCGTATCAGTACACTCACTGTCTCCTACTGGCGCTACACAATAGCTGATATCTAGCAGCAGATTGGTGCAATTCGCGTTGATGGATGGGTTCAGAAATGCGAAATCAGCTAGTGCTATCGCATACCTCAGTGTCACGAGGTTGCAATAGTCTCCGCTCTCAACATTATACCACTGCCCACATTGTCGATTCGATTCGTCCTTCGCATTGGTAGGCACGGGTGCTGCGCTGACGGCTGTGCTTGGCGCCAGAGGAGGCATAGCTGGGGGCGTGACATATGCTACGCCAGGATTGGACACGCAAATAGAAGTCCCGTTCATCTTGTATAAGTTGTGACAGCCAGCGTTAATGATCTGAGAGTGTCAGAATAATGGTAAAGAAGCGAGATCTGCGCACTGTGCACCTACCGGATTCCAGGCCTTCAACTGCGCGATGGTGATATTATTGGAGCTAGCCATGATCTCGCAGGTATCGGCAGGCTGTACTGTATAGACTTTGCATGTGTTCTTGATGCACAGTTTGCCATTTTGTGGAAAATTGGCGCAGTAGGCAGTGAGAGAATTGTCTGAAAGCAGCCAGGCAGTCCCTATGCCTTGAGACTTGGATATCTTGTAGCAGTCATCGCCGGTCTGGATGTCGTATTCCTTGCCACTGCAGACCGTCGATGTCGGTGTGGGACTAGCGACTGGAAGCCTGTATAGAGTTAGTGTGGAGCTGCGAACATATATATATGTATGCTCACTGCGGGAAGGGTAAAGACGAGATAGACAATGGGTAGCCCGTCACACCACAGCTTGATGTCTTTGACTCGTACAAGGAACTCTCTCGAATCTGAGGTCCGTCGTAGTACGGACTGCCAGCCTGCTTCTGCAGATTTTTGATGAAACACAAATCGCAGGGTCCGGAGGCTTGCACGCCGCTTGGTGGCTCGGTGTCCCAGCCTATTGGGCTCTCTGTTCTGGTTAGCATAATGTTGGGATTGGAGTATCGGTTTACCTACGTCCTGGATCTGCTTGCATGGCTGCAGCAACCGCAACTACATTACACCAGCGACCCGCGTCCTTGAGGCAAACAAGATCGTGGTTGAATCGCATAACATTGGCAATTATGTCCAGTGGTGCACCGTCAATCTCATCGTATGCCGTCCAAGTTTGTCCGGTACAAGCTGTGGCAATGCTTGCTTCGTACTGCTCAAGGGCAGTAACGCAGGCGGTTGTGCATGCTTTTTCTAGCACGGAGGCGGGGTAGTAATATCCAATAGCAAAGGTAGCAACGGTAGGAGGACATTGTTCAACGTCTGTAAGAAGGGCCGTCGCACAATCACTGGTCAGATTGGATGGGATAGTATTGTTACTGAAGAAGGGTATCGCAATTGTCGATGGGAGATACCAAAGGGGTAGCAAAAGCCGCAGCAACATCCTGGGACTATGCGAACGCATTCTTGTGTAAGGGTCAGTACCTACCTAGGTAGGTATCGTCCTGTGGAAAGTCTGCGACGGTCCACGAAAGACGTACTCACAGGAATGACTGCAACCAAGAACGACGATGCAGGATGCTTCAACTGCGTTCTACACCGAGGCAAGAAAGCACCTGGGCATGCCCTATAGCCAGCCGCGCTGCATGGGACACCTAATCGCTCGGCACCTGCATCCCAAGGGTCCATTCTCATCATCCATCTGGCGCCGGTGTGGGTCGTGTAAGTCTTGTGGAGTATTGGCAACATGTTAGACCATAAATCAGTTCAGTAACAGGCTAAAAAGCGGGCCCTGAAGATGCGGCGGGCGCGGCCCGAATCCGGACGGAAGGCCTGATGCCAAGCACGAACTATGAAGCTTGGCACCACTCGGAGCCGGAAGATCACCTGCAGTGAAGTGCCAAATATTTACGCCCGGCAGACGTTCAGCATTAGTTTAGGGGTAACGTCATGTCATCTCCACCGCTTCGATTTTTTTCTTCGGCCCAAGGCTGTCATGGTTGCTTTGATAGTACGACCGCGCTTCAGCCCTGAGCAATTCTTACCTGAGCGTCACTCCCGTGGCAAAAAGGCCAGACTCCCGAGTTCGGCCAGCGCTGGGAACCGCCTCTACGTTGCAGCACTGCGCGCTGAAAATTGCTCCCATACCGGAAGTACCTGAAGACATGATAGCTCACTAAACATTGCAGTCGGGACATCCGGACGGCAACTGACACCCAGTCAGCTTGACTTATGTCCTTCCTACTTGGGTAATGCCTAGGTAGAAGCTGATATCATTTCTTGATGTCTTAGCGAGCGACTCCGAGGGCGCCAATGCGTTAGAGCGCAAATTTAGATGGGATGTCATATCTGGGCCGCATGGTAAACTTCCCGCGGCATCTCTGCCAGTACAAATCTGGAAATTTCAGTCCGTTGGCCTGGCCATGCATGCAGGGGCGCGAATTGCACGCCTACTACTCGCCGCCACGATGACCGCTGTTATTCAGGCGTCCATTGGATCCACGGTAGGCCCAAATGGAAACCTTGATGCCAACGTACCTGAGCTGTGGGTACCGGTAAGATAGACAGAGTCCATTTTCCCACGGAGCTTCTGAGAACGCTCTTTTCCAGTCCTTGATCTTGGTTTCTTTCCTACTGCTTTCAGTGGAATCAGACGCCGAGATGTCAAGATTGACTTCCGCGTTCGCACGGTGGGCCATTGTCTTCTGTGTGCTGCTTATCACTGCTACAGCGCATCAGTCGCACGCTCGATTTCACCACAAGAGATCTCACGCGCCACCAACTTGCGTCAATCCAACTCAGTATGTAGACGAACGCTGTTAGATGCGGTACATTCGTAGCTGACTTGAGTCCAGTCCGTTCGACTATTCTGCCAAAGAAAAGCATACGGAACGTGCGCCTGTTTGTCCGCATCTGGCCCCACGAGCTCTACAGCCAAGAGCTGAAGAAGACTATTCATGCTCTGAGTCTAAGCCATGCAAGAACGGAGCCTGCTGCCCAAAGGCTACCGGATATTGTAACTATGGTGAAGAATATTGCGGCACAAACGGTCAAAGTCCCAACGATGTTTGCTGGTCAAATTGCGATGCCAAAGCAGAGTGTGGCAAAGACGCTAAGATACCTGGTGCCAAATGTCCACTCAATGTCTGTTGTTCAGAATTTGGGTATGCTGGTCAAAAGATTCGCAATGATACCATCTAACACCCCACAGCTTTTGCGGCATGACCGAGAAGTTTTGCGACAAAGGTACCGAAGACGAACCAAAATGCCAGAGCAACTGTGAGCAGCCAGGCTCTGGTGGCTCTGGCGGCGATGTTCAGAAGATAGTGATCGGTTATTATGAAGCTTGGGCACATGACAGGAAATGTCAAGGCATGGTACGTCAGACCAGCCAAGAGCGAGTGCAACATACTCACTTCATTCGCAGGACTTCAAGAATATCCCAACAGGCGCCTTGACTCATCTCTACTTTTCCTTCGGTTACATTTCGCCCGGCACTTTTGATCTGGTTCCGATGGACGACCTTAGCCCCGATCTATTCTCGCAGTTCACAGATGTTAAGAAGTCGAACCCCGGCTTGAAAACAGTCATTGCTCTTGGCGGTTGGACCTTCAACGATAACGGCACCGCAACTCAGCCGGTCTTCAGCGACATGGTCAGCACCGCTGCGAATCGCGCCTTGTTCATCAAAAAGTTATTCGCTTTTATGAGACAGTACGCCTTTGACGGTGTAGACTTCGACTGGGAGTATCCCGGAGCCACCGATCGAGGGGGTAAGCCTGAAGACGGCAAGAACTTTGTTACGTTCTTGAAAGAACTTAACGAGGAGAACGACAAGCAGCTCATGCATTATGTTGTCTCCTTCACTGTTCCTACTAGCTTCTGGTATCTGAGGCATTTTGATCTGAAAGCTGTGGATTACGTCGACTTCGTCAACGTCATGAGCTATGATCTTCATGGAGTAAGTCAGGCCAAATATTTGCCTCCCGCTTCTGCACTCGTGCATGTCGGAAGGTTAGACACCGAGCTGAAGAGGTGACACACCTTTGCGGAATTGCCCTTCCCACAAGCTGCTTGTAAGCTGGTCTGGGTTTCGGATGCAGCGATCATGTGAACATCTTATTTCGAGCAAATGCTAACATATGTGTCTAGATCTGGGACTCAACGAACCCGATCGGCAACCATATATATGGGCATTCGAACTTGACCGAGATCAAGTTAGCCTTGGATCTTTTCTGGCGCAACGACATCAAACCAGAGAAGCTCAATCTTGGGCTGGGGTTCTATGGTCGCAGTTTCCAGCTATCAGACCCCTCTTGCTACCGACCTGGCTGCAATTTCAAGGGCGGAGCATCTCCTGGTCCCTGTTCCGACAACTCAGGAACTTTGACATACAAAGAGATTCAACAAGTGATCAAACAGCACAAGATCAGTCCTTACTATGGTAAGCAGCCACGACGAAACCAGCACATGTGATAGATAGGCTAACCGCTTTTTGTGCTTTTAGACAAGGAGGCTCAAGTCAAGTACATCACCTGGAACCAAGACCAATGGGTGTCGTACGATGACAAAGACACATTCAAGGCGAAGATCGACTTTGCCAACAAGCTAGGCCTCGGCGGACTACTCATCTGGGCCATTGATCAAGACACGGATGATTTGGACGCTCTCAACGCCGTCGTGTCTCCAAAATCTGTCAAAGCCCTCGCGATGACTGCCGATGACGCTTCCTTTTGGGACGATGCGACCGTACCTGATTGCTATGTCACTGACTGTGGCGGTACTTGTAAGGCTGGTTTCTTCAAAATCGAACAGCAACCATGCGGTGGCGCGAAGCCTGTCACGCGCAGGTCCAAAGGCGAGGACAGTCAGCTGTGCTGTCCAGTTTCCAGTGCACCAGATCCCGACAAGTGCCACTGGCGCGGCGAAGCACCTCCATGTAATGGCCGCTGCCATGACAATGAGGTACTGCTGCAGATGAACAAGTGGGGTGATGGGAAATACTGTGAAGACGGAAACAAAGCATATTGCTGCGAGTCACCTGCGGCTAAGGGTCATGACTGCTACTGGGCAGGCGTCGGCAAGGATTGCAACGGCGACGACACGACGATGACCTTTTCAGGCACATTTCTGAGCACTATCGCCGACATTGCAGACGCGATGACTTTGATCGATAATGCTCTGGTTGATTGGCTCGAAGCGATTGACGTTGACATGCAGAAACGATACTGCTGCCCAAAGAAAGACGCCAAGAATTGGAAGAACTGCCGGTGGTACGGAGAGCCCGGATCTTGCTTCGACAATCATTGCCCGGTCGGAAAGCAAGTGCAACTCACGGACAGCCCGTATGGTTTTGGGCAATCCTGCTTCCCTCGACTGGAAAGAAACAGAGTCTACTGCTGCGACCCAACCGATGGTAAACAGCTATTCCTTCCAGTACCACTCGATCGGCTGTTCAGCGATCCCCCGACTGGGGACGACGTCGATACGGACTTTGAGCTCAATGTGGACGACACCTTTGGTGGACAGGGTGACAAGACCGACGATGATCCTTCCAATGCTGCATTTCAATTTGTCGTGCTTGCATCGCCTAAAGAACTGCAACATTCTCTCGATAAACGCGATGGCTCTCATTGGGAACTGTTCAACTGCCAAGGCGGGCCGAGTGAAGAAGAGCAAACCATCCAGATGTTCTGCATTGACGGCTCAGAGAACAACAATTGTCAAAACATCGGACTTGGACACGGCGTACCCGGTACCATCCTGGAAATGCCAGCTGGCTGTGGAGCCGGCCGCTATGCCGTCGCGAAACACATGGTCCCTGCTGTCGATCAAACGATTCCGCACCATCTTCGGAAGCGAGCGTCACATATGCCAATGGTCTATGATCTGACCTTCGACTACAACTTCAGGCGCGTTCCTCGCGATTCTGGTGATACCCAGATGAGGATAGACTTTTCCAATAAGAACGACTACTGGGACAACGTTGTCGCAGCTGCGAGCACAAAGCGTAAATCTAAACGCTCCTTGTCTGACTTTGACGGC